AGCGCCAGCCGAAATCTACCGATTTTTGGAGATTTTAACGCCGCGTACTGACTCTAATATCCTACCGACTGCGCCAATTACGTTAGCTGCAGCCGCAGGACTTAAAAAAAACCAATTCTTAAAATATAAATTTAATAAAAGAAAGATTACATTAATTCTATAACTAAATTAAAATGATTAGCTAGGTCGAAGTGTGACCGAAGAATGACGAAATCCGATGCTCACTTCCACGGGCGTCGGGTTGTCGGCGCCTGCTGACTCGGCGTCTCGTGACACGCGGCTCCGTCGTGTTCGTCTTTAAGTAGGTTTTACATACTTGGCGATTTTAGTGTAATAGAACTACGTAATTTACTCTTTATTGTATACCAAAAAACAAAACAAAACGAATACAGTTAAATCTAAAGTAGAAAATGTACAACAGGCGGTCTTATCACTCTGAAAGTGACCTCTTCCAGACAACCTTATTGAAGAGAACTGATGCAAACAATAGTTAAAAATAGAGGGGGGGGCGTACAAAATAAAAAAAATTAAAATACATACAAATAAAAATAAGTTAAGATTATGTATGATATAATATAATAGATTAAATGAAAAGAATACGAAAAAGGAAAAGTAATTTATCTAATAGCGTTCTAAGTAAAAAGATGAAGATAAAAAAAATTAAGAAATGAAGAGATTGAGCACGACGAATTTGGAGAGGTAAAGTTCCACAAACGTACAGCAGTTACAGTAAAGAATTTTTTAAAAAAAGGGGAAGAGTGCGAAAGAGTAGAGAGAGAAAGATTGACAGAGGATCGAAGGAACCGATTATGGGTAAGGGAAAGATACTGGAAACGGTTTTTAAATAATGAGGAGTGGAAGGATTAAACAGCATGCCATACAAAGTGGAGAGAATGTGAGGTATTCCTGCGAAGGCGGATCGGGAGCCATTTGAGCTGTTTGCGAAATTAAGAGATATGATCATATTTGCGAAGCCCAAATATGAATCTAATACATAAATTTTGAATGTGCTTAAGCTTATTAAGCTGCTCCTCGGTAATGTCAAGATAGCTAATGTCAGCATAGTCAAGGATAGGCAGAAGTAGAGACTGGGCGAGCGTAAGTTTAGTCACTGTGGGAAGAAAATTACGTAATCTACGTAAAGAGCTTAAAGTAGCAAACATTTTTCTACTAACCTCATTAACCTGTGAGGTCCAAGACATACAAGAGTCGAGATACAACCCCAGGTTTTTAACCCTGTTACTGTAAGGGATTTGAGTGCAGTCTAGTAAAATAGGATGTAGGGAAGACCAGTCAATTTTTCCAATTAATCAAAAACTTATAGGCTTTTATTTCTTGTTAAAGGTAATTTTTATACTCTTTTTTTTTTAAACGTTACCCCCACACTAGGATTTTCTCCTGTATCGTGGAGGCAGTTTACAAACACAAATTGCAAAAGGCCATACAAATATTTGTTCCGTACGGGACTCGAACCCGCGGCCCCCCACGCAGCAACTTATTGCTAAGCCACTGCGTCACGGAGCCGTCAAAGCCGTTTTTATATCCAGCGATGGATTCAACTCGGTTGGGCAGCGTTCGGGAAATTACGGCACATCTTCTCGTCAGGTATACCTCAAAACTTAAAAACGATACTGCACAACCAGTGCGTGTTGCCAGTGATGACTTATGGACTGAGACGTGGTCCTTCACTGCTGGCCGGATGAGGAAGCTCAAGGTAACTCAGCGAGCTATGGAGAGGGCTATGCTCAGAGTTTCTCTGCATGATAAACATAGAAATGAGGATATCCGCGATAGAACCAGAGTGACCGACATAGCCCAACGGATTAGTAAGCTGAAGTGGCAATGGGCCGGCTATATAGCTCGAAGAACCGACAACCGATGGGGAAAAAAGGTTCTCGAGTGGCGGCCTCGTACCGGCGGACGAAGTGTAGGGCGTCTTTTCACTAGATGGAGTGACGACCTGGTAAGATATGCAGAAAGTCGATGGATACAGGTGGCTCAGGACCGTGCTTTGTGGCATTGCTTGGGTGAGGCCTTTGTTCAGCAGTGGACTTGTGAAGGGCTGTAATGATGATGATGCTGAAAAATATCTTTGTGTGGAGGTGGATAACAATACCTACTACCCCATATCTTCCAGTAGGTATCGTAAGAGGCGACAGAGGGAAATTGAAACAGAAGATGGTCAGCAGCATCCTTATAAAAATTATTCTATTCTATTCTATAAGCTAGTAGTTACTTTTGATATACAGCATACGCATGTTCAACTGTGCTTAGCACAGGCCTCGTGCGATAACGAGTGCGGCACACTCAATGTCATTTAAATGTTTTGATGACCTTTGTAAATGAGCATTAATATCAAGATTAACAATTTCAGTAGTGCCCGCGGGGATTTACTCGGGAAGCTTTCGTACTTTGAAAATTAAGGCGATCCAGCCAGCCCCCAAGCTATCTAATTTAATTTCCTCTTTCATAAAATTGCGAAATGGGTTTTAACATCTCCAAGGTTGCAGCTTATTTCAGAAAAATCATTTCTTAACCTTTTGTCAGAATAAACACAAACATGTTTTTAAAAGTAATTATCAACTGAATTTAGAAGATTTTTTTAATATAATAATGATAAGAGATTTTTTGTAATACCAAACTGGCCTCCTCTCACCTTTAAATTATGAAATGAAGTAAGACAGCAATGCGTAACATAATCATTAGTTTATTAGCTACATTATTAACTTTGAAAAATTTTCACCCACATTTATTGATTGAAATTGAAAGTGTTTTTGAGGAGTAAGATAATCTACTTCACTAAATTATCATCCTGTTAGACTGCGCTTGCCAGTACAAGTATGGCACTCTAGAACCTTTTTTCTTATCCGTTGTCGGTTCTTCAAGATACATGGCTGGCCTATTACCACTTTATTTTACCGTGTAGTGGCAGTATAAACATTCCATTAACCTATATCATACCGTGATCGTCGTAAGGAGCGACATAGGGAAATGAAACAGGATGTATTATAAAAGAATTTGTTATCAGCCCGCTGGCTAAACGTTTGCCACGTTTATAAATTTAAGAATTACGTGTTTCAACGTTTTTCAAAAGCTATACTCTAGCGTTAAAAAAATGTAAGTTTGTATTAAAATACGTCAATTCAAAAGTAAATTACTGAGAATTGGTTTTAATTATTAAAACACTAGCGTAATTATATACTCATGCCTTGAGGGTTTAGTATAGAAATAATAATGTTTTAATAATTTTTTTAAAAAATTATTTGAATGTATGCAAAGAAAAGCAAGCATTGATATATGAACTTAGATTGTATTTAATTGAGGTGGATAACATTAAAAAAATGTTATGAGACTGACTTAGAGTGCCTTAAATCAGACATTTTACTACTTTGTAACTCACTTTGAACTGTGTCCAATAAATATAAATCCGTCCAAAATTAAACAAAAGAACACATCTAATTGGCTATGGGTAATCTCGTAAAGACGTGTATATTGAGTAGAATTTGGACTCCATAGTAAAACATCAGTGTGAGTGTCAGCGGTCAATACTAGTTTCTTCAGAGTCGGTTTGTGCTGATAATAATTAATCACCACCCAAACTCTATTACAGTTACATAGCAGAGGAGATTAAAATAAAAAAATAGTTCAATTATTATCAAAAATATTATAATTATGTATAGCAATGACATGGGAAAATATTTAGGCATAATTTTAAATAATGCTCTAAAGGGACAAAAAATTACAAATTGCTGCATACCGGGACCATATTTTAGTGACATTCTAAATATAATTGTAGTTACAAAATTTTGTTCAAATAGTACTATAATATTTTTGTTGATAGAAGAGGCAGTGGCAACCACAAACAGTTATGAACACATACTGAACAACTTAATAACTTAAGTGTACACAAAAATGTCTTGTTCACACTACCCTATATACAGGGATTGCCACAGGAAAATAATCTAAGACATAACTTAAATTTACAAATGAATACTTTAATATATACTAATAATTTGATATAAAGTTGTAATGATAATAATGACTAATTTAATTTAATTGACATAATTAGTAATTAAGAAGTTTTTGACAGAAGATAGGTATCAGCTATCCAAATATAAATTAAGACTGGTATCAATATGCTATATTATTATTTACATTTTGAATTAAACTTAATTCTTTTGCCTACCAATATTGCTTCTATTGAGCAGCATAATTATATGACATTAATTTGGAATCAATTCCAACAAATTTAAATTAGTGAATGCGACAAAAAAGGCAATAATAAGAGTTTAATTAACTTAGAATGCAGCCCACAAAAAATGAATAAGGATTGTATACACCTGGTGCATTAAAACGTAGTAGGCATAAAATGAGCAAACTATTGGAAGTTGAATTGTTTTAAATAGTAACAGCATTTATACGTGGTAGAGCCATGCTGCATCTATATTATGATTGTAGCACGAATGGGTCGGCTCGACCGGGGAAGGACCACGCTCTCACAGAATACCAGCGTAAAATAGCAGTTTAACGCTGATGTGTTTCGTATGGTGAGTGTAGAGAACCGGAGACCCTTTTTGCTGGAAACGAGGCATTCCATCTTAGTCCTCACGGGTGACAACGCATCTGCATTTTGACTCTTAATCGGAAATAGATGTAGATGTCTATGGGCCACAGCGACCACTTTCCATCAGGTGAACTGTGTGCTTGTTTGTCACCCTTATCCTATAAAAAAATCCTCTGTATTACTGTATCGATAACTACTTGCTATTACTGACCTGGTAACTGCAGATAGCGGTCGTAAAATTCATACACTACGTTACGAAAGCGTTTGGTGTAGTAGTGCTAGCGTCATGTCGGCCCTTAAAATTAACCAATAGACGATCGAGTCCAGACCTTGTTACTGCGTGATAGTAATATACACATGTATTTACATACTTTTTTATTTCTTTTTCATTCATAGTTTGGAAGTTTGTTAAAATTATAACTCGATTTACGTGGAAATGTCCACTAAAATCAAAGATAATTATTGCGTAGCATGCGGTAGCTCACCACCATCACCTAGTAAAAGACTAAAAATTAAATGTGCTTACTGTAAACAAGACTATCACATTCAATGTGTGAACATAAAAATTGAAACATACAAGGATCTAAGCAGAGTTGCAAGAACGTCATGGAAATGTTCCACTTGTATAAACGTTACCACTCGCCGCAAAGGGGACAACAATAACAACCCGATGTCAGCTCGTCGTCCTGCGACGCTTGATGACTCCAATATGTCAATAGATGAAATAACCCACCTAGATCCATCTGGCTCTGGTAGCCGTATTCAGGAGCCTATACCCATTACTGACAACCTTACACTTAACAGCATAGCCGAACTTCTTGACTCAAAATTTAAAAGTTTTAGGGAGTCTTTTTTCTCTGATATGAAGTCATTCATCAGAAGTGAAATAAATTCTGCTATTGAAAAAACAAAACAAAAATTCACTGAAACGACGGGTTTTTTGCAGTCAGAAAATAAAGATATAAAAGCTTCCCTATCTGTTGTTGAAACTCACATCAGCGAACTAGAGAAACAAAATTGCAATTATCTGAAAAATATTACAAATTTGCAGAATCACTTGGAGTCTATAGAAAAAGTTACGCGAAATCGCAACGTTGAAATACAGGCTGTCCCTGAAAAACGTAATAAAAACGTACTTGCCATAGTAAAAAACCTTTATAAGACCTTAAGCTTACAAATCAATGACGATGAAGTCAGCTCATGTCATAGAGTTGCTAAGTTACCATCTACTTCTGCAAGCCGTCCACGCAATATTCTAGTGAGCCTTCTAACTATTCGTTACAGAGACAAATTAATTTCAACAGTGAAACGTTTTAACAAAGCCAACCCAAGGGATCGGATAAGGTCAGTGCATCTTGGTGTAGCTGGCCATCCTACGATACGAGAACCGAGCACCTGTCACCCGAGTGCAAGGAACTCCATTCGGCTACTTGAATAACATTACGGGATCAATACAAATATATATGGGTTAAATATGGCAATGTATACATCAGAAAATATGATACGTCATCGGTTATAAATGTAAATAATAAGGATTCCCTATCGAATTTCTCATCCTAAATTGTGTGTACATAGTTCTTGTGTTTTTTAATAATCATTTTAAGCTTTTATTTTATTTTGTCTTTTATTTCATGTTAAGTTACTATCAGAATATAAACCGAATGCGCTCTAAAACTTTCGAGTTTTATCTAAAATTATTAAATAACGACTATGATATAATATGTTTATCCGAAACTAACCTTAATGCTGGTGTGGGTCTATCGCAGAGATAGAAGCGATTGTGTTTACACTAACCAAAAAAGTGAGGGAAGAGCTGTCATCTTTGCTGTAAAAAATGTTTTAATGTAATGCGTAGCGAAATCTGGGAGAGTGACTATGAGGATCTTTGGATATCTATACTCCCTAATGCCAATAAACCTTTGTGTTTGTTATTTACCTTCTTACTTAAATCTTGATGAGTTTGAAAGATTTATGGGTCATGTTCAAAGTGTTGTTATAAATAATGATGAACTTGGGTATTTCTGTATCGTAGGCGATTTCAATATCCCTTAAATTGACTGCAATGTTGTAAGAGATAAAAATGATCACTACTGCTTGGGGTTAAGTAAAAAAAGCTTGCTCTTTGCTTAATATGATGGCTCTATATTGCTTGAAACAGTTGAATTTCCTAAAAAAATGTAATCGTCTGGTCACGCTCGATTTAATTTTGGCAAATTTTGATGATGTTCATGTGACTGCGGCACTCGCAAACCCGATATACATCACACTTGCTTGAACATATCTATTGGACACCAGCAAGCATTTAAGCCCATCAGGCAGAACCCAGGCACTTTGAAACCAAATTTTCATAAATGCAACTTTATTAAGATAAAAAATCATTTACTTAATACAAATTGGCAACATCTTGTGGCCAAGGAGAATGTAGGTGATGCAGTTGAAATATTTTACCACGAATTAAACAAAGCTATCCTTCTTTATACAACTCTGTATAAAACTTTATCACATAAATATTCATACTGGTACAGTCCTTCTTTGATTCGTTGCATTAAAGAGAAACTAAGATTTCATAAACTGTATAAGAAATTTGGCAACCCAAGAGATTAGGACACGTTTAATTTATTGAGAAAAATAAGTAAAAAATTAATAGAAGAGTGTTATAAAAACTTACTACAGAATGTGGAAAGCGGTTTGAAATGTAATATGAAAGCGTTCTGGAAATTTAACAAAAGAAAAAGAGCAAGTGGAAATATACCAGAATCCATGACTTATGGATCTCACACTGCAAACAAACTGAAGGATATCTGCGAACTCTTCTCTACATATTTTTCATCTGTGTACGAAAAACCGGATAGCAATAAATCTGCGTCGTTTACCTTTCCATCAAAACACCATCTTACTTTATCTGATGTACGTATTTCAACTGAGATAGTGCGTCAAACTTTTTGTAAATTGGATGCTTCAAAGGCCCCTGGGCCGGATGGAATTCCTGCTATATTTGTAAAGACGTGTACAAAAGAGCTTAGTTTGCCATTGTCTATTATTTTCAGTAAGTCACTAATTACGGGTACTTTCCCGAAAATTTGGTAAAATGCGTTTGTAATACCCATTTACAAATCCGGTGATAAAACAATATGTAATAATTATAGACCCACAAGCATACTTTCTTGAATGGCTAAGGTTTTTGAAATATTAATATATTCTCACATATACTGTCATGTTAAGCAGCAAATTTCATGTATTCAGCATGGCTTTGTATCTGTTCGGTCTACGATAAGCAATCTGCTTATTTATAGAAATCACATCGGCTCGGCTATTGCTAATCGTCGTCAGGTGGACTCAATTTACACTGATTTCTCCAAGGCATTTGACAAGGTCAGTCACGAGTTACTGTGTGCAAAATTAGAGGCCTATGGTATTCATGGTAATTTACTTCATTGGGTCAGATCGTTCATATCCAGGAGGAGCCAAATTGTTGCGGTTAAAGGTTATAGCTCTGCTTTAGCAGCGGTCACGTCTAGTGTTCCCCAAGGATCCCACTTAGGGCCATTGTTTTTCATTGTTTTATAAATGATTTGGTTGACGTAATCCACAGTCAGTGCCTACTTTATGCTGACGATATGAAGATATATCGCTTGATAAGCGACGTGAATGACTGCAATGCATTACAAAAAGACATAGATGCAGTTCAAGATTGGTGTTCCGCTAATTTTATGTCCTTAAATATCAGTAAGTGCTTAGATATCACCTTCACTACTAAACACAATCACCTGGAATTCAAGTACAATATCAATAGCCAGCCTCTGACACGCAAGGAGATTGTTAAGGATAGGAGTATATTTCGACTCAAAATTTTCGTTCCGTCCTCATTATGATTATATTACGCAAAAAAGTTTCAGAACCTTGGGGTTTATAATTCGTGTAACGAAATATTTCTCCAAACCTCTCGCATCACTTCGATTATTTTATAATTTGGTTCGTTTTATACTAGAGAACGCTTCCACTGTATGGTCACCCTTTTATATGGTATATTCTGACAGCATCGAGAGGGTGCAGAGAAGTTTCCTACGCAGTGTTTGTAGCAGATATGGTCACTTGCGTCGTCTACCATCATACGACTCTCGACTAAAGTTTTTTAATATGCAACGATTATCTTTGAGGAGACGATTTGCCGAACAAGTTTTCTTGCACAAGATTGTACATTCTCATATAGATTGCCCAGAGTTACTAAGGCTTATTAACTTCAATTCCGGTATACGACAACGTGTTAAAAGAATATTTAGGTTAGACATACACAGGTATAACACTTCCTTTTTCAACCCTGTTGTCAAAATGTGCCGAGATTATGACGAGATTAAGCGTAGTAACGTACATCTAGATATATTTGATAGTAGCCTTGTTAGATTTAAAAGAAATTTACGTGTTGCTCTTAATTTTTAATGTACTTTTTTATCTTGTTTATTTTTGTTATTCTACTGAAGTTATATTATTATGCTGTGTACACTTTTTTGGATTGTAGTTTAGAACAACACCATCATACTTTTAATATTAGAACTGTATATAACTACTGTCTGTTTGTGTACCTTATTCAATAAAATAAAATAAAAATACTGAACATTGGCTAAATGATTGTAATTAAATGTTTAATTTCAGGAATCATCAGGTGGTCAGTTCCTTCAATAGAGAAAAAAGTTTACGTGGGGGCTCCCTAATATTAGCAGATAAGTCATTATTATATAAAGAACGTAAGGATATTGCATACCTCTCTGTTTAGTGAACTCTAGAAATGGCTTGTGTCGAGCTCGAGCACCTTATTGTTGTGTTTACATATCCTCCATGTGTTACTTCCGAATTTTTTGAAAAAATTGTGAAATAAGTTTTGTTTAAACTTAGTAAACAGACGAAGTCTGTTGTAATATTTAGAATAATTTAACTCAATCTGATCAAAAAGTTGCTATGGCTTTTCAGATAGATTTTGCTGATGTTCCTTTTTTAACAACAAAATCATTAAATTCTTCTCATACTGTCTCCAAATAATTGTTTAAACAAAATGTAAAACCTTGTTCAGATACTTTAAAATTCCGTGGAGTATGGCCAAAAGATATCATTAAATATTTTAAAACTACTGATGTTAAAAATGGCAGACTTATGGCGAATTTCCATTAAAGTTATTGCATCCATAGATACAAGCATATACATATTCAAAGTTAGTATATTGTTTCATACAAGTACATACATTTATAATAGCACCTTATCTAGCCACGTTACACAAAGTTATTGCATCTTTAATAGATTTATCTATGATACCATCTTATCTAGCCACGATTTTAATACAAGCGTCGAATTTGGTGTTTCCTGATCTAATAAAACATAGTAAAGTCATACCTTTATTTAAATCTGGTAGTACATTAAACCTCACCAATTTTACACCAATTTCTGTACTACCACACTTAAGTAAAATTAAAAAAATGTGTAGATCAGATGTCTAGTTTTTTTTTTAATATAAATAAACTGCTTCATGCAAGTCAATTTGGTTTTACAAGGGGTCGCTCGACTACCGACACCTGCTGAGCTGAGGTTACAAAACAGAAGATACTTTGGGTATAATATTTTGTTATCTTTACAAGACGTTAGACTTTGTTCACTTCGAGACATAAATCAGCAAGCTATAGTACTATGACCACATAGTACTGTAGTTTCAAGAACACAGCGCTTAAACTTATTATTTCATGTTTAAGTAATAAAATGCAGAAAGTTATTATCAATTGCAAAAGTTCTTCCGGGTTGCCCGTACAAATGGGTGTCCCTTAAGCTCAATTTTTGGCCCATTCTTATTTTTAGTGTATATTAATGACTTGCCTTTCCTTGTAGGAGATAATTTTAATATAGTATTATTTGCTGCTGATACTTCCTCGATTTTGAAACTTAATAACTGTCGTGAAGCGACAATTAAATATAAAAGAATCTAATGTAATAACAGCAAAACAACAAAAATAGAACAAAAACAAATAATATATTTAAGATTTAAAAGATATTTACAATTTTATATAACAAAATGGAGTATGAAGATGAGGATGGATGTCGTGATTTACAAATTATTTAAAAAAAGGTAATAAAAAAAAAGAGATTAGTGTCGAAGCTGAGCCCGAAGATCCAAGGTGTACAGAAAGTACTCTCAGCGCCTGGAACGAGCACGCACGGCGTAGGTGAGAAGGCGTGGGCGTCTCTAGGCGACGACCTCAGGTGAATGCGGTGGTTTGCAAGATCCGGCGATTTCAGGCAAGACAGGGGCTTGCAGGATCCTCAGCGACTTCAGACAGGACAGAGGCCTGCAGGATCCGGCGACTTCAGGCAGGACAGAGGCTTGTAGGATCCGGCGACTTCAGGCGGGACAGAGGCTTGCAGGTTCCGGCGACTTCAGGCAGAGCAGAGGTTTGTAGG